CAGAGTGAAAGTTAGACTCTTGTGCACCTACTTTACATGTTCACACAGCTTCTTCCCGAGTCATCCCAGCTCCCAGTAGCTACTGAGTTCCTTCAGCGTCGGCCATAAGATCTTTGATAATATGTCATAACGTAGTCTTTCTTTGCCTTGCTCACATAATCTCATTTTTTTAGTACAGGGCTGGGCTGTTGCAGACATAACTGAGGCAGTGGTCCAGTGGATCCTTCGGATGGGCCCCCATATCTTGAACTAACAGCCCCCCCCCCTTTTCTTTTAATTCTTGTCAGTCTGCAGGTGCCGCAAAGCTTGCTGGGTCATAAGAGGACACTGCAGGAAATACTGCAAGTCTGGGGAGCAGGTGAAAAAGCCATGCAGCAATGGAGACTACTGTTGCACTATGAGCAAGGCGGACCCTTTGCCACAGGCACCCATAAAAGCCTCTAGTCATAATTTCAAGCAATATTCCAAAACTACGCCAGCCATGCTCTTTATGGACAATAATGGATTTGGGTTAAGCTGAAATAGGTTGCTCCTCTGCAGAGCAGGGGTTGCCAGCTGCAGTCCCTTCCATGGGCCCATTAAATATGTGACCTCTTCTCCTCTGACTCTCATCTCTGCTCTCTCGGGGCTGGCAGCAGACCTTGAGGTGCTGAACATTCCAAAAGTTAGATGGAAACAGGAAACTTTGAGCACTCCTCAGAAGCTCCTCAAATACAAAGACCAAATTGTTTCACCCAAGACAAGCCATAATGTGCCCTATGTCTGTGGCTCCGTGTTCCCCTGCCTTCAAAGAGGTGATGGGAACCCGCTAAGGACATTCTTGTGTTACATTTGCCTTCTAGTTCAATGTGAGAAACTCCTTGGTGTTTGTTGTTCCCCACATTTACCAGGACACAAAGAGTTCTTTTCATAACATGGGAGATACCTGTAACTAGTCCATCCCATGTATCCCTAGTTTGCCTGCCAGGAGAAACGGGGGGGGGGGAGGGGGGGCTGGGGAATCCTTCTGCTCACTTTGCTTAAGAAAAACAAGCTGGGTAATGTCTTTTACCTGGCCTATGTGAGACTTTCTGTTCAGTCCTCTGTGTGTGTGTGTGTGTGTGTGTGTGTGTGTGTGTGTGTGTGTGTGTGTGAGAGAGAGAGAGAGAGAGAGAGAGAGACAGAGACAGAGACAGAGAGACACAGACACAGAGAGAACATGCTAGAATATACAAAATGTCCTTTGGTCTCTTTAATAAATGATGCAGGAAACGCAGAGATAGATACAAATAAATATAGACATAAGATACAGGTGATATAGATAGACGCCTAAAAATGAAATCCGACCTTCGCCTCACATCATTTACAAAGAGTGGCTCCACACAGATTAAGCATCAACCTGAAACTACAAAATGGCTGCAAGAAAGCATGGTAGAAAAGTCCTGGGCTGCAGGGATAGCTCAGCTGTTAATGACTAGGCTCACAACCAAAAACATAAGAAAAAACACAGTCCCTAGTCTAAGCCACAATGCTTTAAATTTTACTCAAAATATCAGGAGACAGAAGCAAAATTAGACTGGGGAAAGGGGGTTGGGATAGGGATTACATCAAACTCAAGCACAGTCAAGGCAACACCAACAAGCCACAGACTGGGAGAAGGTATTTGCATTCTCAGACTAAAAGACTAAACTCTATAGAAAGAAAACAATGGATGTGGGTTTTTAACAGGAAAGGGCTGTCAGTAGACAAATCTCTAGAGAAAACACACAAGTGGCCAACAGGTACATGAAAAGCATGCAAGTTAAACCACACTGGGCAAATTCCTCATACTTGTGTCTGGGAATCTAAATTAGAGTGGCCATTACAGAAAATGATCCTATAGAAGTTGGGGAGAGGGACAAAGCTAAGACTTAAAATCATATTACTGAATGATCCAACAATCCAACTTCTATGTATTTATCCACCAATTTAGAACCTGCACTCTACTGAGGGGCTGGCTTTCAGAAAACTGCCAAAAGCAGATTTGACATTTCCCCCTAACTGGGCCTGCAACAACAAGCAGGCACTTATTGTGGGAAAAGAATGTAACTGAGTACCAAATGACATCTCCCCAGAAAATGCCTGAAAAGGAGCATCCCAAAGCTAGCAAAAAAGCCAGGGAGAGCAGCTTTATAATCGAGAGAGACTGGCGGGGTTTTAGGAGGAAATGAACAACTGTGTGAAATCAGCTGCTATGCCACCCTCAGACTGCAGAAGAAGATGCTGGTAAAAGACAAAAATGAAGGATTTAAAGGCGACAATAGCCATATAGTGACAGGCTAGGCATGCAGGCCAAATGTAATAAGATGAGCAGGAAAGGAATGGAGAGGGCTAGAGTTACCTTTCTGTACGCGTAAAAAAGGAGGTGAGGTGGGGAGATGTTTAAGATGGTGCTGTGGGCCGGCATGGAGTCCTCACCACAGCTGTGCAGTGCCTGAAGGACTTTCAGAAATAAAACGACTCAACAACTCTCGAGTTTGGTCCCACCTGATGCTGAAATCGTCTCTGTGGAAGCACCACCGTCCCTGCTGACCAGTTCCCTAAGCAACTACTGGGGTGTGGCAGAGCAGAAGCCAGCGATTTCAGGAGGGACATGTCCATCCAAACAGCACGCCAGACACCTCAATGGATCCAGTGAAAAGGGAACCAGAATGAAGAAAAAGGCCTCACTTTTACTCCGGGCTTCACCCTCCTGGGTCTTGATTTTGAAGCCCAGGTGGTTGTTGTTTACACTGGGAGAGAGTGGCGGTCAGTAGACTCAGGCTGGTGGGATGGCTCAATTTGTAAAGGTACTTACTTACAAGGCTAAGGACCTGAGTTCAATCCCTGGATTCCAATAAAGATGGAAAGAGAGAAAGAAAGGATTGACTCCACAAAGTGGTCTGGGACCTTCACACGTACACCAAGACACATGCACCCACGTGCCCACCTCCTCCCCGCAACACAATGCATACACACAATAATGGTAATAGTAATAATAATAAAGTAAATGTATTAATAAATATTTTTGAAATATCACCAAAAGAATCCAGCAGACTCTAGAATCTGGCCCCATACATATTCTTCAGGTTATGCTTAAAGAAATTAGCTGTCTCAGCTCTTCTAACACAGAAGTCTGTCTTCAGAGGTCAGACTTTGCCATCCTCACTGGTAACCATACTGAGCTCTGACCCCAGCCCGGTCCAGCAGCCCTATGGACTATTGGAATGGGTCTAAAAGAATAGCCATCAATTAACAAAGCTAATCTTAGGTCACACTGTTGTGAAAAAAACTCTCAAGCTAACTGACTGGCTTCTAGACCGTAAAGATTTCAAATTCTCCATTTCATTTGATGCCACATGCCTTCTGCATGTCAGGATCTCGGCCTTCATCAAAGCTTTGGTTTTCCCATGATAAAATTGAGTTGATGTATTACACTTGTTCTACAAACTTCGGAATTAACAGTGTCATGCTTTGTGGACTGAGCTAGCCCCAAGTCCCACCAAGCTGCACAGTTAAATCTGAAGTCTGGGGGCTGAAGAGATGGCACAGTGGTTAGGAGCCCCTGTTGCTCTTAAAGGAGACCACAGTTGCCAGGATGTCACCATCACCTGTAACTCCAGCTCCAGAGCTGATACCCTCTTCTGGCTTCCTCGGACACTGTACTCTTGAGCCCAAACTCAGACGTTCCCCAACACAGGTAAGAAGTAAATATGAAAATCTTTTTATTAAATCTGAGTCTTGTTTTTTAACAAGGGTAGTCCTCACGATCATCTGACTACTCCTGGGAGATCCCAGCCCTGCGTGTGCCAGGGTTTTCTGAGGGCTACACTGAATTCAAACAACATCTTACCCCATAGTCTCTGTAGTTATCTTCTCTACTACAACCACTGAGGTGGCCAGACTAGGTTTGGACTAGAAGAATTCGCTTCTGTAATTCGATCTCGAGCCACTAAGGTCACAACTGAATTCATGATAACGCCATTGAACTATTCACTTACCAGTCTTCCATTGGCGGGAAGAGCAGCATGAACGCAGCCTCTACCGCCACAGCTTCACTGGTAAACACGTGCCATAGTGCAAGTGACTAAGGGGCTGTGGGACAAGACTACCTTGAAGGTTAGACCAGTTTTCTATATCCCAAAAGCATATCTAGATGTCGAGGTCTTTGCAGATAATGCCCAGCTCCTGTGCCTCTGTAGCACACTGGTCAACAGTAGCATCCAAAGTTACTGTGAGTGCCTTTGACAGGGAGCATTCTTGGCAACAGTGGTTAACTTGTATGGCCACCTGTTGGAGTCACGCTATACACTGAATTCCCCACACTCTATTGCAAGTCAACTCTATCATCAAGTCACTTTCCCTGTTGGAATGTAGGGGAGCACTTTAGTTTCTATGTGAGCATGTGTTCATTGCCATAAATCTCCACTGAGAATAAACTCTGTGCCTCTGGGGCTTTGTCCCTATCCAGAGCAACCTCACACTCTAATGTAGAGAGGCAGTGGTAAGGAGAGATCTTTGTGGGGAGAGGGGAAGAGGGTTCGAGACAATGTTTCTCTGTGTAGGACAGCTCTGGCTGTCCTAGAACTTTCTCAGGCTGGCTTCTAACTCAGAGATCTGTCTGCCTCTGGCTTTCAAATTCTAGGACTAAAGATGTGTGCCGCCACACCTGGGTGGAGGAGAGATCTTGAGAGCAGACTTGAGGGAGCTTGTGGGCAAGGGGTGGGGCGCCAAGAGGACAGAAGACACTGAGGACAGAGTCCTATGTGAGTTCTCCCTCTCCAGACTCCCGAACATGTCCCCAAGGCCTGTGACTTCCAGGCTTTGCATGTGCTCTCAGGGCCTGTTTCTGATGTTTTGCTTGGATACACTTTTACATCTCTCTCTGGCTCAATGCACATCCCTCTGCCCCCACTATGGAAAACCCAATAAAACTCTTGATCAAATTCACACTGTACCCAGTGCTCTGGATACCTGGATCTACCACCTACAACTTCCCAAGAACCATGAGACTTCTGCTGCTGGCTCTTCCTGTCCTTGCTTTTCTACCTCAAGTGATCCCAGGTAACAGACCCCAGGAAAGCAACCAGAGTGAAGGCCTAATGGGCCCTGGCCTGTGGGGTCCAATGTGTAGCTGTTCTCCCTAACACAGGGACAAAAATTTCCTCACTGCAACTGTCTCTGGCAAGGGCGGGATGGAGGGATGGAGATCAGGCAATCCTCAGGGCGGCCTACACAGCTAGAGATCCCCCTCACACCATGTTTTCACCTAAGGAACAAGGTTAGACTTTCCGCCCACATTTGCTCTCTTTCTGGCCTGTACAACTCTAGAAAATCCTCCCAAAATCCATAGCCCTTGATGTCTTGGTCTTTTAAAAGTCTTGCTATCACTTTCCAGGAGATCCTTTCTCTTCTCATGTTCTGGAACTTGGCGAACAAAATGTCTGCAGAGCTCTTATATGGATGGAAAACCAACCAAACAAACAAACAAAACAGCAAACAAACAAACAAATAAAAACCCCAAACCAAAAAACTATGAGTCTATACAAAGTTATTTAGGATATCCTTTATCCACAGTGCACAGGTGTGTATGAATATACTTAACTATATGGACAAGGGTTTACCTAGGATAGGTTCCTAAAAGAGAAACGGTTGTGTTAAAGGTAAGTTGGCTTTTCTTTTTCTTGCTTCGTTAATTCCTCCCTTATATACCTGTCAGGACACTACCAGCAGGCTTTCAGAGCCGTTTGGAGCCTTGAGTGGCTCTCAGTTGCAGGGACAGTTCTTTGGGATCTTTAGGGGAACCAGTTATGTCCATTCTGCATTCTGATGGGGGTAAGGAGACTAGGAAAAAGAGACATGAAGAATTCGGAGAGAACAGTCCATGGGCCCCAGAAACTCGGGGCATGCAGTAAGAGAAGGAACTTTGTATGACAGAGCAGACTGTCAAAGGCAAAAGTTGGGACAAGGAAGGGGTATAAAGTCTTTTTTTTGTTCTGGACTCCCCCATACTTAAGGAAGGACAAAAATCAGTCCCTGGTGTCAGGAGGGCCTCTAGAGCCTCTCATGGGTAGGGCATAAGGGATCGTGCATCACCATAATCCCTCACATGCTTGGTGTTATTTCTACCAGCCTGATGGATAAAAGTGTCTCACACTGTTATTTGGGGGTTTGCATTTATTTATTTATGTATTTTGGGGGGGTTGGCTTTTTGGTTTTTCTTTTTTTAAGTCTTTTTTATTAATTTCCTTTTTACATTCTAATCCCTCTCCTCCTGCTCCCCCCCACTTCCCACCCACTCCACCTCCCACCTGCTCCCCTAGGAAGTCGTCTACTAAATCAGTCCCATCACCTCGTTGAGGCAGGGCCAAGGCATCTCTCCACCACACCCACCACCACCACCACCCCGACATCCCTGAGTCTAGGCTGAGCATGGTATCTCTCCAAAAAAAAACAGACAGGTCATGCTGTTATTTGAATCTGCTTGTGTTCCCCAGCGATCAACACATGCAAACAGCCTCCTCTCAAGACCTTCAGTTCCCCTTGTGACTTCAGCTTCATTGCTCTTCATCTAACCAAGTTTCCAATCACCATAGCTACCTTGCTGGTTTCTGGAAAACTTCAAGGTCAGCCTGCCTGTGGGCCTTTGTGCTTGTCATTCCCCTGCCTGACAAGCTCTTCCCCTAATCTCACTCAATAAAGTCCCCCCACTCTTCCCTGCTGCTCACACACACCCTTCCCCCACCCGCCCCCTCCCCTGCAGACTGCTTACCTCATCTCCAAAATGTGTACCTGCAGCTAATTATTAAACAAAGTATTTTTAACATTCTTCTCCTATTATTATATTTAAGGTGTGAAAATTCTGAACTACCCAGAGAAGGGCAAGTTTGATCTGTTTTGTTTTTAATCGTTGCCTCCTCTTGCATCTTGAACAGTACCTGGTATCCAGTAGACTCTAAGCAAATAATTGTTCAACTACAGCAACCTCCCTTCCTCTGTTAGCACGTTGCTTAACACCCCTCATCTGGCGTAGCTCTCAAGTGGGGTGTTCTTTACATGTTAGTGGGCTCTAACCACTGGATGTGTTGTCTGTGACCTGTCCCCTCTCAGGGCAGGAACTTTGCCCAGGAAAAGTCCTCTACAAGAGAGAAAAACACTTAATTCTGGTCTTCCAAGTTCAACTATGCGGTGTCTCGTGCACAGAGCCTGGTGTTTTTGTTAAAGGCACTTCCTCCTGATTCTCACACCCAAAAGGATCCTCTGACAGTATTTTCTAATGTTTTAACTTTTTTCCCCACACCTCGGCTTTTAAGCTATCAGGTGTGATGAACAGTCTACTTTGTTTGTTTGTTTGTTTGTTTGTTTGTTTTTGAAGCCTGGGTTAGCTCTTCCAGAACAGCATGTGGAATAGTTTAAACTTTCTCCTTTCATCTGGGCACTCCTTACTGCATGCATCCGAGTGTTCAAGTCTGTCTGTTTGGGCTATCTATCCTTTGACAACACCATATGTGTCAAAGTACCTGGCTTTATAGTGAGCTGGCATCAAGAGGGCAAATTTTTGTTTTACTTTAAAAAAAAAAAAAAACATATAGTCTTGATCACCAGTGGTCATTATTTTCCTTTGATTGATGAGTGATCCACCACACTTTGAGAAAAGCTAAACATGGCCTGCAAGGTCTACTTTTGAGAAACATGACACTAGCAAGTTACCATTAGGAGCCAGCGCCCTAGTAGTCTGCCACGGCCCAATGTTATTTGTGGAATGCCAGATCTATAGCCATCAAGCAACAACAACTTAAAATCACCGGTCTCTCCTTTGATTATTTAGCCTATGGTGGTGAGAAAAAATGCTTGTATGGATCGGGGATATGCAGGAAAAGCTGCAAAGATGGAGAAGTGTTCCAGGACAGATGTAAAAATCGCCTAAACTGCTGCGTTCCAGCCTATAGGAGCCACAAGCAAAAGGCCTCGGGCACTTGGACCACAGAGGCATCCTCTACAGTTGAATATGATCTAAACTCATATTTCATCAATGAACTTAGCACAGTGACAAATACCTGAGAAATGGCTGGAAAGCTCTGTCTTTGGAGTTTTTATAGCTCATGGCTTCTTAGATGTTGCTCTCTCGTGCCCCAAGAGTGATGGACTATGTTGTATGTGTAAGACATTGAAACACCCATGGACCACACTCAACCTCCATGACTGTGTAATTCTATATTAAAAAAAAAAAAAAAAAAAAAAAAACACTGTGTAAAGAAAGACTTCAAATGTTTCCAGTGATAAGGTCTGTGATGCTCTTGAAACATCCAGTGATTGCTCCAGATGACTGAACTTCCTGTGTTCCTTATTTGCTGGCAATCTGTCTGCAAATTTAAGCACTTGAGGAAGAATTAATTTCCACACTGGCATTTCCTTCTGTCCTGATGAGAATTTGAGGATAGCTTTCTTGTGTTAGTTTCCCCTCAGATGAAAAAAACATTCAACAACAAAATCAAAATCCTAAACCTTTGCATTTATGATGCTATCTGGTAGGCTGTCAAAGCTTGCTTCAGGGGCTGGAGAGATGGAACTCACGTGCTCTTAAACCCTACAGTCCCTAGCTAAGGCCTTTTCCAAGACTAGTTTTTACTGAGATCAGATTCTTCCTGAAGCATGTCTGGAGTAGGCACTTTCTCCAGATCATCTGCTCTGTTGTATGAAGGGACAGGGTCGCATGGAAGGGGAGAAAAAAAATCAGAGGACAGAGTGCATACTGGTGAACTCAAAATCTACTGGGATGTCATTGCAGGAACTACTTGCTTGAAAACATTCCAGGGTATTTACTTGTCATCATGGCGGTAGAAGTTACCAGCCTTTTCTTACAAAAGTAGAGAGGTTTTAATTCTATGAAGACAAAAGTAACCCCAGGGGACTGAAGATCCCCAGATAAAGAGGGAGCACAAAAAACCAAAAACCAGCTCTAAACTCAGGAGGAAAACAAAGGTAAAGGGAACTTCACAAAGAGTGATCAAGCTTAGCATTCCAAGGAAGGCAACAATGGAGGAAGTACTACCTAGAGACACACTTCTGAAACTTCCAAAGAGGCATTGTAATAGAGTTTGGACCATAGGCAGCTCCCCAGAGCAAGCTATATACCAAAGCAGCTATATGATGTCAGGCACAGTCAGAGAAGTAGAGAAAGAAATGGCCTGGGATAGCCATTCCCCTATTGGCAGCAATTAGAATTAAAGAATGAGAAACAAGATATTAGTGGGAAGTAAGACATAAAAAAGCAAGTATTGTGGCTAGCAAGGTGGCTTGGTGGGTTAAGGAACTTTCCTGGCAAACCTGATGACCTCAGTTCAATCCCTGGGACCCACATAAACGTGGAAGGAAAGAATCAATTATACAGAGTTGTCCTTCGCCCTCTGCACAAGCATGGCAAGACTCTTACACAGATACACATCATGTATACACAAAGTAAGAATAAGTTGTTTAAAAATATAGTTTTTTTAAAGCCCTCTAGAATTTTAGGAATTAAAAGACCTTAACAATCATGGAGAAGGACATGTGTTGTTCAAATCCCTTCTGCAGTAACCACCAAGCCGATCCCAGCCTCACAACTTGACACAATAACCAGACAGCTTACTCCAAATCCAACAGGTCTGCTTGGAAGCTCTTTCAGGCTTAACCACCTGTGTCTGGAAGACTACACACCTATCCCATCCCACCTGTGAGTCCAGCATGGCATAGATTGCCATGGCTCATCCCAAATCCCTCCCTCCCTGGTCTCCACTGAACTCTCCCACCTTCAGTGGCTGGCCAGGCTCCTATCTGAAAGTCACTCAGGGACCCAGACCCTTCTCCCATGGGGTTGCATCCAGAACAAGACAGACATCTCATGGTGCAAAAGCCAATCTCTCTCCAGCAGAGGAAAGACAAGCAAGCAATGTCAAATGCATGAACTTTAATAAGGAGGTGGGCAGCAGGGAGGGCTCCCTGGAGGTGTGTGCATGGTGTTCACCGGCATTCATGGTATTTTGGGCCAGTGTTTCTCATAGGACCAGTTGGTGTCCTCATCTGTGCCTGTGAGGCTGATCCTCATGTAGGACTGGAGGCAGCATGTCTGGTAAGTTCTGCAGTAGAAGTAAGGCTGTTCATCCTTTTTGCAGGAAGACCTACAGAAACCTTTGTTACCCAGGCATTGAAGGACAGGGTTTTTGCCTGGCCAAAAAAGAAAAAAAATGATGATGATTAATTTCTGCTCATCGGTGACATAGATCGGGGGCATCAGGAGCACAGAAAAGACCTAAAGGGTGACAGCAAGAGCCACAGTCAAGACAGACAGAGTCAATGCCCTTTCCTCCCTTTGTCCTGCTACATGCAGGTCAAGGCTCTGGACACTAGAGTGAGAAAACAGCATGGTATCAACACAAAAACAAACAGGGACACGGATGGAATGGAACAGGGGACCAAGAAGCAAACCCACTCAGCTAGAGACACCCAACTTTGGCAAAGGGGTCACAAACATTTGCTTGAAAGAGAAGGCTTATTCAGTAACTGGTATGGGCAGCCCTGAGGGCCGAGCTGCAGTCTACATCTGTGTCTCTCACTTTGTACAAAAGTCCTCTTCAAGCAGATCAGGGGCCTTGATTGTGGTTGGAAAGCTTTTCTCCATCTAGCCCAGTCCCAGTTTCTCTCCATCCACTAGTCCCCGAAGCCACTTACAAGATAACCACTCAGAGACTTAATATATATTTATAATTGTTTGGCCAATGGCTTAGGCTTGTTACTGGATAGCTCTTTCTCTCTTATAAATTAACCCACTTCTACTAATCTGTGTATCACCACATGTCTGTGTCTTACCAGTGATGCCCTGGTATCTTGCCCTCCCAGCAGCTACATGACATCTCCTCTATCCCGCCTTCTCCCCCCCCCCCCCATCTCCATTCAGATTTTCTATCTGGCTTTACTCTGCTTAGCCATTGGCTGAAACAATTTTATTTATCAACCAAGCACAACATATTCACAGCATACAGAAGGACGTCCCACACCCCTTGACTTAAAACTAGAAACACTGAAAGTGCAGGAGAAAACACCTGAGTATATAGGCACAGGCATTTCCTTAGTAGGACTCAGACAGCACAGAAAATAACCTCAAGAATTGACAAATGGGCTTAAATTCAATTAAAAGGTTTCTTCACAGCAAAATAAACTACCAGGAGAATGGACAACATAACAAAAGAACAATCTTCATCAGTTAAACCTCAAACTGAGGATTACTATTTAGAATATATAAAGAATGGCCAAAACCAACTCCATAGGCTGAAGAGATGGCTCAGTAGCCAAGAGTACTGGCTGCTCTTCCAGAAGACCTAGGCTTGATTTCCAGCACCCACGATGGTTCATAACTATCTGTAACTCCAGTTCCAGGGGTTCCTACACCCTCTTCTGCCCTCCACATGCACCAGGCGTGCATGTGGTACACAGATACACATGCTGGCAAAACACCCACAAACATAAAATAAAATAAGTAGTTTTTTAAAACCTCAGACACACACACACACAAAAAAACTGCCAATCAATAAATAGTCGAATGGACCTTTGATAATTGACAGTTATCAAAAGAAAAAACATAAATGGCCAAAGTCTTTTTAAAGTATTTGATATCCATAGCCATTATTGAAATGTGAGAAAGGGACCTCTGTCCACTACTAGTAAGAATGTAACTGATGCATCTACTGTGAGGATCTGCCTGGGGGACTAGAGAAATAGCTCAATGGTTAAGAGCACTGGCTGCTCTCTCAGAGGACTCAGGTTCAATTCCCAGCACCCACAGGGCAGCTCACGACTGTTTGTTACTCCAGTTCCAGGGGATCCGACACCCTCACAGACAAGGGTACACATAAAATAAAAAGAAATAACACAACTACTTTAAAAAAGAAAGAAAATCATCCTGGAATTTTCTCAAAGAGCTAAAAATAGAGCTATCACATGACCCAGTATAGATATAGATAGCTTTAGATCTCATATACCCAAAGGATCATGCATTATTTCCAGTGCTACCAGGCCACACAGTGCCACTGGAGGGCACACAAAAGATAGAATGCCCCTTCCAACTAGGGTGGTGTCAACGGACACACACTTTGGAGCTAGAACCTCTAAGCCCAAAATCTTCTATTATACAAAATAGCCAGTTCTCAGTCAAAAGTCATTCACCAGAACCAGGATAATCACATGCCAAATTAAAGAAAAAAAGATAATCAACCAAACCTGTGATCCCTCTGTGTTCAGACCATTGACGGTTCATTCCTGCTCATTCTGAACTGTACTCCACAGAAGCATGTAACATAGTCTCTTTAACCATTCCTACATTTAGGAGCATTTTTGGTGTTCCCAGTTATGCGCTCGTGTGTGTGTGTGTGTGTGTGTGTGTGTGTGTGTGTATGTGTGTTTGTCTGTGTCTGTTGTGTGTGTGTGTCTGTATGTCTGTGTGTGTCAGTGTATGTGTGTTTTCTGTGTCTGTTTTGTGTGTGTGTGTGTGTATGTCTGTGTATGTGTGTTTGTCTGTGTCTGTTGTGTCTGTGTCTGTATGTCTGTGTGTGTCAGTGTATGTGTGTTTGTCTGTGTCTGTTGTGTGTGTGTGTGTGTATGTCTGTGTATGTGTGTTTGTCTGTGTCTGTTGTGTGTGTGTGTGTGTGTGTATGTCTGTGTATGTGTGTTTGTCTGTGTCTGTTGTGTGTGTGTGTCTGTATGTCTGTGTGTGTCAGTGTATGTGTGTTTGTCTGTGTCTGTTTTGTGTGTGTGTGTGTGTGTGTCTGTGTGTGTCAGTGTATGTGTGTTTGTCTGTGTCTGGTGTGTGTGTGTGTGTGTGTGTGTCTGTATTCCTGCTCATTCTGAACTGTACTCCACAGACGCATGTAACATAGTCTCTTTAACCATTCCTACATTTAGGAGCATTTTTGGTGTTCCCAGTTATGCGCTCGTGTGTGTGTGTGTGTGTGTGTGTGTGTGTGTGTGTGTGTGTGTATGTGTGTTTGTCTGTGTCTGTTGTGTGTGTGTGTGTGTGTGTATGTCTGTGTATGTGTGTTTGTCTGTGTCTGTTGTGTGTGTGTGTCTGTATGTCTGTGTGTGTCAGTGTATGTGTGTCTGTGTCTGGTGTGTGTGTGTGTGTGTGTGTGTGTCTGTATTCCTGCTCATTCTGAACTGTACTCCACAGACGCATGTAACATAGTCTCTTTAACCATTCCTACATTTAGGAGCATTTTTGGTGTCCCCAGTTGTGTGTCAGTGTTTGTGTGTTTGTCTGTGTCTGTTTATGTATGTGTAGGTACACGTGTGTATGTACATATGGAGGCCAGATGTCAACCTTGAGTGTTATCCTTGGAAACTGTCTACTTGTTTTTTGAGGCAGGGTCTTTCAGTGGAACTTGATCTGGGTGATTTAGGCTGGAATGCTTAGCAAGAACCCCAGGGATCCTCCTGTCTAACACTGAGATGTTAGACTCAGTCTGGCATATTCGGCTTTATGTGGGTCCTGGGGATCTGAACTCAAGTCCTCACACTTGCACAGCAAGCACGTAATCCACTGAACCACCTCAACAAACAGTGGTTATTAAAACACTCTGGTTAAAACCATGAGCTCAGTCAAGGTCAGGAGAGATGGCTCAGTGGTCAAGAGCACTTGCTGCTCTTGCAGAGGACCTGGGTTCAGTTTGTAGCACTCATGTGGTGGCTCACAACCATCCATAACTCTAATTCTAGGAAATCCAATTCTATTTTCTGAAATCTGTGGGCACCAGGCATGTACATGGTGGTACACACACACACACACACACACACACACACACACACACACACACACCCTAGTTTGGAGAAAAGCAATGAGCCTACAAAGATCAGATCAAACTCTTGGGAAAGAATACAAATAAAGGCCCTTACACCATATGTCTGGATACTTAAAAGTGATTAATCAAGCCAGCAAGAGAAATACTTAAGTAAAAATATATTCTGTGTTCTTTAATGAGACAACCCTCTGGGATGACCCAGTTGTACTCCTCAGAGTTCCTGTAGAAACATAGCATGGCGGCAGCTGCCCCTTACACCTTCAGATCTGCATACACTAAGGAGTCACTCATGAGAACATGTGGTCCAAGCTCAGCCATAGCCGCTGAAAACAGAATGTGACTAACACCCCTCACCCTGCCTAGTGCTACATCCCAGAAGGTTCTGTGGGTGAACCTAGGGAGCAGCTCATGTAGTTTTAGGTAGAAGCCTCAAGGAGTCCTTGGACAGACAGCACCAGCCCCACTAATCAAAGCACAAGCTTGAAGGCAGGGTGGACATCATTGGGCAGCTTGTCCTCACCCAGTGGGAGGAGCTTAGAGGAAGACCAGATGAATGGCAAGATCAGGACAAGGGGTCTCTTTTCCTAGAACATTCTCTTCCTGTATCATAGTGAACCCCTATCTATCTCAATGGCATGTGTCATGCTTCATAAAGGCCCTTCCCCACATCCTTGAGTTCATCAACAGAGTAGCTCAGGGATGAACAATTATGCCGTGTAAATGAGGTGCCAAGACTGGGATTTGAAGACAACCGGTCCCACAGATTCCCCATCAGGTTCCTTAAATTCCCCATTTCTAGCCTCACCTGTGTTAAATTACCCATCCAAATGATGGAGAGTTCCATCCCTTGCCACCCCCTTCCAGAGTCAAGGAAGACCACCAGTGCTTACTCTTCAAAGGTAAGATGGCCAGAGAGCATTCGCCAAAGCCCTGGACCCTGTGCTCTGTGCCCATTTAATTCTTATTGTAAGCCTGAGCTACTTAATGTTGATGTTCAACTTTAAAAAAAAAAAGAAAGAAAGAAACAAGATTCTGGCTCTCTGACAGTGTTATAAACAGGGTCCCTTAATGGTGAGAGGCAGAGCGAGGTGAATGGGTGAACATACAAATCTGTAAGAGAATGCTAGAAACAGAGAGTGAACAAACAAGTGATAGGAGATGTCATTCTGTATATATGTTTCTCTTACTGGTTAATGAATAAAGCCCTGTTGACCAATAGGAAATCAAGACAGGCAGGACTAGGAGACAAGGAGAATTCTGGGAGATGTAGTAGAGAGGGGGGTCAAGATGTAGGCCGTGAGAGGAATAAGTGGTCCCAACTCTCCCCCCCCCCATTAAGACCACATAAAAATACTTAGATTAATAGAAATGAGTGAATAGCTAAGACAGAGCTAGCCAATAAGAAGCTCTAGCCATTGGCCAACAACTTTATAACTAATGGAGTCTCTGTGTGCTATTTTGGGACTGACAAGGCTCTGGGACCAGGCTGGTGGGAAACTGCTTGTAACAAGTCCATCCAGGACTGAGTAAACTGCTTTTCATATTTGGAAATTTTTTGGCCCCTGGGGCTACGTGCCCTTGAGAATTACAAGGTATTTCAGCTGAAATCCAAAGATTTAGGTTCTATTCCACCTCTGTCCACCATTGTCAAGTTCTCTCCCAAGATGAACCAACACTCTAGGTGTCTGAGGTTCCTTAAAGTCTGGTTCTGCCCACCCCCATGCTCCCTAAGTTTAGGTATGTCTTAACAGCTGCCCCTGGGGCTGCAGGCGACACCATCTTCCACACTCCATTACCAAGGTTCAGTCCTGATGACTTCTCTCTCCTGCCTCTGAACTCCATCCTCCGTCCTCCCCACCCCATCCATTATGACTGACAGACACAAAAAACAATTCTGTGGGTTTTAATGTGGTGAAGAGACTAAAGGACAAGAAGCAATGTCCTTTCTACCAATAGTAGGCTCTCTTCTTCTTTTTATGGATTTTTGTGAACATTGTGGGAATGGTCTAGTCAAGGACTCATCCCAATCATAGCAGGGTGTGTTAAGTAACATACGGGGACACAGCAGCATTTGCAATTTTGGCAGCATATGAAGCATCCTTGCATAGTACCCGGCACTGCCCGTCCTTCCAACATGCGTCTTTGGGGCACAGGAACAATCATTAGGTGTGTGTTAGTATTACCCAAATGACAGACAAGAAGCAGCAGAGGGCAGGCGAGCAGGAAAGAAACAGAGCCACGCAATTGGGTGAGCAGTGCTGTCCAGGTCTGAGGCCATGAGAGGGAGGGCACAGAGGTGACTGCTCTTGGAAAACTTTCAGGAAAATTCTTTCTTATTTTTGACACAGGGTCTCAGCTCCTCGCCTGAAAGTCAGTATGCCAGCAGGCTGGCCTCAAACTCATGGAGATTCACCTGCCTCTACCTTCAGTGCTGGGATTAAAGGTGTGCACTACCACATCCAGCCAAGAAAAATTTTTTCAAAGTTTCTCCCCATCTATCATCCTGCCCCCCCCTCAACCAACTTCCTAGCCCTTCCTCCAGAATCAGTGTGCGTGAATGAGGGTCCCACCTAGTGGAGCCTGTGAATGATGGGAAAGGGACAACGTCCATGTTTGCATTAGTGGACAGAGAAGACTCAATCACATCCAAACAGAGCCGGCTGCTTTACAACTAATGGCAGAAGCCGGCAAGCCTCAGCTCCAGCCACAACCCACTGCCCAGTCTCCTTGATCCCATACTCGTCCAGTTAAAACTCAAGACCCAGTCAGCCTCCTGCCCCATCCAGCTCAATGCTCCCAGAGGCCGCACTCCAACCAAACCCAAATCTAATCAAGTCACCAGCCCAAAGCTCAGCTGCCCGCCACCAAGCTGAATCGAAGCACCCTGCACACCAGGAAATCCAGGTCCTCACGCCCAGGTCATCCTGATATTCTCTCTGTCACCCTAGCCCCTGGATTATCCCACATCAGGAATCACCCCTAACCAGGTCCCACCCCGAACCCAATCCTTCTTCCTTCATTCATCTCCTAAGTTCCCACCAGAATTCCACTCTTGCCCCCAAAGTACCAGACCCTCAAAACATCTCTCTTGCAGCCATTTAGCAAGGCAGATTTTGAGCAGCATGCATGACAGGATCTTGGGGTACCCTTCGAAGCTGCGTGGAACGGGGCGGGGGGAAGACTTGGTTGTCTTCCCTGTGAGAGTGAAGGAAAGGAAAGAAACCCAGGGCCCTAAAAGAACCTGTTACCTGACATCACCCGTTCTGTGACCACAAATACGGCAAGCAGCAGGAGATACAGCTTCATGGTGTCGGTACCAGGACGAAGGTGGAGCCCGAGCTATGACATAGGAGGCAGGGACGGATCTCCTTTTATCAACAGGGCTTCGGGCAGTGGCTGAGGACAGGAGGGATTTGTACAAGGTCAGCCAGACTGAAGGACAGTGCGTAGCAGATGTCTCAGCCTAAAACGAGAGTGTGGGAAAGCTTCTGGCACCTATGCTAGACATGTCTTCTCTCCTAGGAAGGACAAGGGTGAAGTAAAGTTGGAATTTTGAGAGCCACCCATGATTAACATGTGAACACATGTCAAGAAACATTTAAGTTTTAGGAGTTATTCCATCTTAGCTTTTTTTTCACTTTTTCAAACCACACACGGATGTATGTCTCATGAAATCTTGAACCTTCCTGTATGTTCCACATCAGAGTCTGAGCCTGCATCTCTCTCTTCAGGCCCCCAGCTTCCTCAGAGGCTGCTACTGCCTGTCATCGTGGTGTCTGTAGGTGCTGGGCCCTCCAGCTGAGGTTACCCTGAACCACAGAAAGTTCTCTTTTGGCTTTCATCAATTCATGTGATGTTTTCATATTTTTTGTACATGTTTCATCTCCATTTCTTTCACTGGGATGCCAGGAACTTGGCTCGAGCTGTGCCCTTCAGAGGATCATGGGCATGAGTTGCTCAGTGTGGGGAGATGTTAGTGTCTTTAACAGGTGGGGCCTCCTAGAGATGGGCAGATGGCTCAGGGGGTGTGTGAAGTGTTTGTTGTGTAAACATGAAGATTTGAGTTGGGATCTCCAGCACTCATTAAAAAAAAAAAAAAAAAAAAAGCCAGGCTCAGTAGCATATATCTGTGATTCTAGAGCCAGGGAAACCATGACACAGCGTCTCTAGGTCTCTCTGGCCAGCCAGTCCAGGCAAGTCAACGCACTCCAGGGTCAGTAAGAAACTCAAAAAATAAGGTGGAGAGCAATTGGAAAGCTACCTGACATTGGTCTCTTACACACACACACACACACACACACACACACACACACACACACACAAACAAACAAAGCGGGCTTAGCACAAGGTAATTAGGCCACAGGATTTCACAGCTAAATGTGAGGGACTCTGCTTAGAGCCCAAGAAAGTCATTGTAACAAGAATGGACTTGACCTCTGGTCACCTCTGGATAGGGTGCCACCCACCATGAGGTCCTGCCTGGGGGTGGGGGGGCAGACATGGCTGCCTAATCAAAGAGTTTCTGCCTCTCAAATGGTGGTTTCAACGAATTTGTTTTCCAGCCTTCGATATTTTGTGATAGCAACAGAAGGCAGACTACTATGGTTTATAACCAACCCTAGCACAGGATTTCACCTGCCATATTAAGATATTAATTCAGCTATTTTAATAGGTGTTGCTCCCAAACAATGATTCCAAAACTTAGACATTGGTTTTTGTTTGGTTTTTTTTTTTTTGTTTGTTTTGTTTTGTTTTTTCCATTCCTGTGTGCTGCTAGGTGCAGGACTTCACAGTCAGCAGGGAGCTTGGGTCCTTCTATATCAGCTTCACCTGCTGATCCAGGAGCACTTCCTACATGGTGGAGTTGGGGTGGGGATGGGGTGAAGTGTGATGCTCTTCCTTTGAAGGAAGCCTTCAGAAATGCACACACTGTTTTCAGTCCACTGGCCAGAACCCATTCCCACCAAAGGCAGCTCCGGGATACACTAGGAATATTTTCCTTTATTCTGGGCAATGATGGCTTGATGAAAGTCAGGGTCTGATTCATTAAAAGCACCAACACTGAGGAGTACTAGAGATATTTAGAAGCTGGCTCTATATACAGAATAATATTTAATAAACATTAGCAGACTTAATAAATAGTACCTATTACTCCATTGAATAAATTTGGAGCTAGTAATGTCTGCCTCCTGCTTTGCTGTATTCTTTTCATTTTTAAATTACAGTGTGTGTGTGTGTGGGTGTGTGCGCGCGTGCACGCAAACTTACACATACATGTGTGCTCAAATGGTACATATTCAGGTCTATTTTGTGTGTTACACATGTACTGAGCGTGGGTGTGTGTGTTTATGCTGCCAAGTGATTTGTGTGGAGACACAGCAGCTGAGTAGGTGTTTGCAAACATGGCTCTGTTCTCAAACCTTTAAACCATTGTCTACTACCTCAGTTCCCACTCCCCATACCCTGTGACTCTGGAATGTGACAGTGGCTTGGGAATTCTCCTACTGAGCTGAAGATGTGGGACAAAGCTGGGAGTGACTGGAGGAGATATGGGGAGCAGGGGCTGTGGCAAGAAGGGAGGAGGTGAGCTTTGGCTAGAGGGCCAACTCGATAGCGGTTGCTGCATGGTGCCCGTGGGAGACCGGATGAGAACAAACTGTAAAGTCTCCCACGCAAGAACAGCCTAGCCTGGCAAGCTGTGAAGGCCTCCCCACCCTCCATCCTTCCGATCTGGGCAACTATGAGTCCCATGTGGGGGAGAAGAGAGGACACTGGTTATCAAGGTCCCACAAACAGGCCTGCACAGGACTTCAAAGTGATTTCACAGGCTCCTCTCGTTAGAGCTGTCAAGTCAACAACAATGTCAAGGAGATGACACACACACACACACACACACACACACACACACACACACACTGACAGTACAGTCAAAGTCTTTGACAAGACCCTTCACCTCTGTGCAGTCACACTCCATTAGACCCAGGTCCTGTGGTTCCTGTGTCCCGGGGGGACACAACAAGGGTGGCCAAGGTTTCAGAAAGCATGGAGAGGGTATCATGGAGAGAGCGTGCGTGCACGCACACACACATTCAGTTTCCCAATTAAAAAAGGAAGGCCACTCAGAATACAAGGTCTGTCTTCTCTTTCAGACAGAGCAGGAAAGTCTTACATTTTCACAATGCCCCCTCAAATAAAATAGAGAAAAATTACAGGTAAATACTACATTAAAGTCTTGTACCCCAAGAGTAACAGCACCCCAAGAGCCAGTGCCTGTTGGTGTGTCCAATCCGAGGCATCTCCTCCCTACATGCTAGGCCTGGCTCCAGCAAATGGAAACACTCCAGATGGAGGCGCTGTTCACTCAATGGCCATGGGCTCCTCTTCAAACTCCGTCCAGGTGCCACTCTGTCCTTTGTGCCTTTGTGGAAAGGACAATCATCTCCCATTATAGAAGGTGCTAAAGACTGGACCTGGCTGCCCCAAATCTACAATCCCAGTATTCAGGAGAATGAAGCAGTTGGGTCTTTGTGAATTCAAGAACAGCCTAGTCTACATGGCAAGTTCCAGGACGGCCAGTACTGTGAAGGCTAACCACCACTGCCATTAGCAATCAGAGCTCACCTTCCTGACTTCTCCGCATGTGTGCTCTTTGTCTGTCTCCTTCCCTGGTGTGCTCTAGCTTGCCTTCCTCATCAGCCTACCTAAGACCCAGTGTCAGAGACACAGACTCCTAACTGCACATCTTCAAATTAAGTTTGGACATTTCAAACCTTTGAAAGTCTAAGGCTCAGTCAGATTGCTTACTCAGGACTGAATTCAAGGCCATCCCCCTCTTCTGTGCCTGGAGTGGACACAGAGTTATTGTTGAGGCCCTGTGGAAGATGGGAAAGAAGGATGCCAACATTTTATCAGAGCACATTCCGGAGTTTATCACTTCCTTGCACTGCTTGCCCCCCCCCCCCAGCCCCGGCATCTCTCCTCTGGATTCTTATCGCCACTTCAGCCTCTGCCTTTCTGGAGGTTTTTCCACCCCCTCAGTAATTCATCTGTCTTCTCCCAGAACCAGCCACTGCCCTCCTAGAGCAGAGAGTGCTTTCCCTGCTCCAGGTGTAGATTTTTCTAACTTATCTATAAGACTGCCCGGGGCATTGTAAAAGCAATGGGAAAAATAGAGAAACAGACAACCAACTCATATCTGGTTGCCTATGGGCCAAGGATAAAGATGCTGGGGAGGGGAAGATAAAACTTGCAGGTTTCTGCCCTAAGACAAGCTAAGCTGTTCAGTCTGGTTGTTTTGAGACAGTGTCTCAATAGCCGGGTTGACCTCAAATTCCTGATCCTCCTGCCTCTACCTCCCCAGTGCTGGATGTGCACCAGTACATACAGTAAAACATGCATTTTAAAACAGGCTCCATAACCTTTGAAAAAAATGCTCATGACATGATTGCTAAATAAATACCAACTTCAGACTGATCGCCTCCAGAATTCATCCTGAGTACAGGCGTACAGAGCTGGGATTTTAGCCATTCTCAGGTGTTTCTTGTAATAATTCTGAGTTCTTAAACCCAGTGCAGGATTGCACTTTGGTCTTCTTGTGGTTGGATGTGGTCATGACACTGCTTGTTGCTAATGAGCAATGTTATCACCACGGTCAGACCATGTAACTGCCAATGACACCCTCTCCTGTTACAGCATCAGTAACAAACGGCAAAACTGCTTGGTCAGAATTTTACAGTGAGACAACAAGGAACAGCAACCCCAGCTGAGCTGCAGGTGGACATGGAGCAGGACAAGGCAGAAAGTCTGCTGGAAAGTTAATCTACTTTTATTTAATCTACATCTATTTCTTTGTTGCTTGTTTATGTGCACACGTGTGCTAAATTCCAGCATGGAAGTCAGAGTCAACCGTGGGAAATTGCTTCTTTCCTCATGCCATATGAATCCTGGGGATCAAACTCGGGTCTCAGGCTTGGAAAGCACCCTTGGATTCAGATTTTAGTGACTCTTGCAGAGAAACTAAACACTTTTTGCTTTGTGACACGCCGTGAGTCTTTCACGGCCAGACATTGAATGTAATGGTTAAAAGCTGTGTGTTTGGGTGTCCGGTTGATAAGAAGTACATTTGTCATGGTTAATTTTGACTATCAACTTTACTGGGTTAAGAAAACTGGGTATTGGGAGGAATAATGGGTGTGTCTGTTTGGGAGTTTCCAGAGAGTCTTCACTGAGGAATAAAAGTCCATGCTGCGCGCGAGTGTCATCACTCCATGGCTCGGGGTCCCAGAATGAAAATGAGGCAGCTGGTTAGGGGAGGAACAAGTGAATATCAGCACTCAC